CTTTTTGAAAGAAATAGGGCATTTAGATTTCCAATGTTCTATGACTTAATTGCTGGAAAAAAGTGCAGTTGTATATAAAAACTCTCATACACTCACTTTAAAATGTGGAAACAGAATTTGCTACCTTGTTTAAATATCTTCCAGTTAAGTTTTTAGTGTTTTGGAAGCATTTGTTTAAAATATAAAGAATGTAAGACCTATTGATTGACATCATAGCAGTAGAAAATTTACTCAGCCTAATTTCAATAAAAGTCTGTATACTTAGTACATGAGAAAGAAAAATTAATTTATTAATAAGTGTGTCCAATTATGCCTTTCTTCTATTTGTATGTGTCTTTATAAAAGATTGCTTCCAGTTATGGCAATTATTACAACCAAATATAAAAATATACTGACCTTTCCATTGTTGCATCACCAAATGTGAAGATAGGATTTTAAAAAATAATGGAGCATATCCAAAATCATGTCGCCCAAAGCCAAAATGTTTCTGTAGTATTAATGAATAAAATTAAAAAATTTGAATATTGGCCAAAATTTCCACATTGTATGTTTTGTAGTGCACATAACGTCTTTAGTTCAGTAGTACCCATATGTGACTCATTATAAACAAATATGTATTTATCAGGATGTGAACTAAAAAATTATATTTGATAGGAGTATGTGACTGTTGACTCGAAGTACAAGAGACCACTTAACTCTCTATTGTCGGGCACTTAAGTTATTTATAATTTTTTCCCTTTTGCCACATTCCTGCTTGTTTTCTGGAATAGATTCCTGGAAGTGGAATCAAAGAGTATTTGAAGGGAATATTTTTATAGTTATGTATTACAAGTTGCCTAGAGAGAGATAGTAAATCTGTAGTAATTGATGTGTTCACTGCCATCAATAAGAATGTATATCCCTTGCCCTTAGGTTTCTTCTAATCTGATTTCATGCTAGTAGGAGGAGAGGACTGTGGTCTATCTTAGGGCAGTCAGGTTGCCCAGGGGCTCTGGGGAAGACAGTTTTGGGCAGGGAGCCCAAGTGACCACAGACAATGGCCACCAAGGGCATCCTTTGCTTCAGGCATTTCCTCTCTGGATGATGAGCTCCCTGGGGACTTGGCATGGCTCTTGGGTCGGCAGCAGGGTGGGGTGCAGGATGGTGTGGGAACATGGTCATCTTGCTCGGAGGTGGGGGTAGGAGGTCAGCGAGTGAAGTTCTGTTTCTGGAAACTGTCTGTGGGATGATGATTGTTTACATGCTGCAGTGTCTAAGGATCAAAAGCGAGTGGAAAGAAGCCTCCTCCACTCTCAGGCCATGTGGAAAGCATTTATCTCCTGCTGGAAACCTTGCATGAGAACAAAAGCAAACCTTGCAGAATGCTTTCAGGCACTGCATCTTGTTTCCGGGTCTCTCAGCCTTTTGCTAACAGAGCAGAGTGGGACTTCCCACCAGAATCAGAAATGCCAGATTTTCCCAAGCAGAGTGGATGCACAGCAAATTGGTGGCATTGTGGTCTCCATTTTCCAGTCCTGCTAAGCTGGCACATTGTTCCATCTCAAGCTTTTTTCTCTGTCTGGAGACCAAGACAGAGTGGCTCCTAGTTGAAGGAGGTGTTAACCTCACAGACTGCATTTGTTTCTTGGCCTCGGATTCCCTTCTTAAGGGGCAGTTTGGGAGTGGGGGACAATGACTTGGTCAGATAAGCCTTTTTGGTACTACCGCTTACCATGCTGGCACCCAATAGCCTTGCCTTTGTGCAGGTGGGTCCTTGGGAGGCACAGAACCAGCCTTGCAGTGGGGGTGGGAGGGTTCTGCTTCTACCTTTGTCTCTGAACCCACAGGGAACCCTAATCTGGTGTCTCAGCAGCCCCATACTTCTCTCTTTCTGGGTCTTCCTAACCTGAAGTCTGTATTCCCAGCGAGGGGTGAATGCAGCTGCAGGGTCTGAAGAGAGGATAGTTGAACTTGCCCTCCAGGAGCAAAGGGCTTGGAGGTGACCACTGCTTCATGTCATTTCCTTAGGTGTCCAGGCAGCCAAAGAGACAGGAAGGCTTATTGAGGGATCTTCCAGAATAAGTAGGGAGTGGCTTTAGAGGCCAGATTAGCTTCTCCACTGGCCCTCTTAATCTATCCTCTCCCTCTCCTCTGAGACCTTACCTGGTCTGTCTCCAACTTGCCCAAACTTTCTCTTTCTCCATGCATATGTGTACACACACACACACACACACACACACACACACTGGTTCCTTCCATCCATCCATCCATCCATCCATCCATCCATCCATTCAAGAAGCCAACCAGCCAGCCATTTATCTTTTTCCCCCCCCATTTGTTCCTTCCTTCACCTACTCCTTCAGTCAATAAACATGAGGCTATTTTAAAGCAGATGGCTGTGGCTGAGAGAGGTCTGAGGGCTCTGACCCACTGCTCATAGGACCTCCCAGGACTTTGGACAGAATCTAGTTCAGAGCTTTGCAGGTCTAGAAGCTCATTTTTGTCCACTAGCCCAGAGGTTCATTCCAAAGAAGTCATAAGTGACTGATTTGTAAACCTAAAGGCCAAAATTAATTACAGCCCAAGTTAGACTGGGTGGGATAACCAGTACCAGTGTTTCCTCCTGGGGCAAATTAAAGTCCAGAACGGGGATGTTGACTCAAGATAATTGAATGGATTGCTTTTCCTCATGCCAAGAAGATTCCTCTCTAGATAATGCTATGCTCCATTAGCCACACAGCAGCCAGAGTGGTGTTTACAAAATGTAAATCAGATCATGCCTCTCCCCTGCTTAAAACCCTGCAATTGTTTTTCATTGGACTTAAAATTAAATTACAGCTCCTTAATAGAGAGTACGGAGTTCTGAAAGATCTGGCCCTGCCTCCCCTTTCCAAACTTCACCTCCTACCACTGTACCTCTGAGCACTTTGCTCCAGCCATCCACCCTCCTTTCTGTTCCTTCACTATCCAACTGAATGCCTCACTCCGTTCCTGCACTGGAAGTCTCTGCCAGCAGCTCCCACTACAGCCTGGAGCCTGTGTGCTCTAGGGGCAAGGGTTTTTGTATCTGTCTTGTTCACCAGCGTATCCCCGGTGCCAGCACAGAATAGGTGTTCAAAGGTTAGTTAAATGAATGGGCAGTACCAATTACTGATGGGGTAGGCTCCGCTTTGAACGTGGTGGAAAAGATTTTGAACTTTGCTCTATAGGATGCATTTTATAGTCCTTTATCTTTATCTTGTTTCTCCTCCTTCTCCTCCCCCTCCTCCTCCCTCTCCACTTCCTCCTCCTTTTCTTTCTTTCTTTGGTTAGACATCACCATGAACTTCCAATTTCTGTGCAGATGGTTAACCAATTTGACTGCTGTTTGTCTATTTTAGAACAGCATTGGAGAAATTATGAAACAAAAGGAAAAGTTGGATTTTAAGAATTAACCAGAAAACTAGGAGAAAATCATGGGGGCCTGAAAGCTGTTTTAAATTGGTACATGTGGTGGGGGAGGCAGGTGGCTGAAGGTGGGCAGAGACAGCAAGACAAGAATAGGCCAGAGGAAAGCTTCTGAGATTCTTCCCTTGCCCCACAAAAGCCTTTACCATCGACGAGATTGTAGGGGAGTTCAGTAAATGCCTGATGCTGGGGTAGAGGAGGTGGTCCAAGATGCCAAGATCTTTGGTGCCTTTGGTAAAATGAGGAAATCTATCCTTGGATGGCTGCAAGATTTTACAGGTACCCGATCCAACTGATTCTATGTTGTGGGTATGGGATATTTGGAAATTAAGAGAATCCAGCCATTAGCCACTATGCTGCTGATGCAATGCTTCATCACTCTGCCTTTTAAGGTTTGGAAATTTTGTGAAATCATCTGCAAGTCCTGCAGAGTCAAAGCCTATGTGTTGTAGAATCACTGGAATGCTTCAGAGCTTCAGATTGCGGCCAAGTTAAAGGCACCTTCTTCTTTCTTCAAGGAATCTACCTTGACTAATATCAGAAAACTCAGCTTGGTCCTTGTCTCCAGTTTCTGAGGGCTGGATGTGTATGTTGCCAATTATTATTGGACAGTATGAGAGGATGAAGAAGAGGGGGAGGCACAGCAAACCTGAGTCCCTGAGGAAAGCAGATGGTCCGAGCTGTCCAGCATGATGGGACAGAAAGGGCATAGTATTTCTGTTCTGAAAGCTGGGCTGCCTTGCGCAAGGTGCCCAGCATCTCTGAGCCTCAGACTTCTTATCTGTAAAGCGAGGGGGTGAGGGAGATTGTTTATCATCCCTGCGGGCTCTGACACCTGACACTTCAATCAAACCTCAGCCCAGAGCCATTCCACATCTCCTTGGGTTGAAGGGAAATTCATCTCCCTTGCAGATTAAACACCTATTGATTTTTTTTTTTCTTCTGGCAAGGGGGAATGAGACAGCTATTTCTTCCTCTGTAGACAGAAGGACAGAAAAAAAAGTCAAACCAGACTCCCATTCTGTGATTTTCTGTTCAGGCCTGAATGCTAAACAGCGTTGGCTCCCGGGGGGTGACTCAGCTTCCGCAGCTCATAGAAATTTAGAATTGGAAGGGTCCCGACAGACTATCCAGTCCTCTCTAAATTGAGGAAACAGAGACCCCCGGATGGAAGTGACACGGAATTAGGCGGTGATGGAACCCGAACTAGAGTGTACATAGTATATAGGATGAGCACATCTGATGGCCCTTTGCCACAGAAACCTTTCCAGGGCCAGCTGTTAGGGGCTGCTCAGGTTCTCGTATTGCTCCTTTATGTAAATACGATAATCCCGCTCACGTTTTGCCTCTCTGATTGGAGTTTTCATTAACCTCAATTGAGCCATCAGCCTAGCTTTCCTGTACAGAGAGCATGGCTTCAGGAAGGCGACTCTCCACCCTTTGTAAGAAGACGCGGCCGGTGATTGGTGGCTTCAGGAGCGCCGGAGCCGACCACCAATGGGGAGCGCGAGGAGGCGGGGCATTCTGGGGCAGGGGCGGGGCGGAGCTGCGGAGCGGCAGGTTCCTGGGCTGGGGGTGGTGCGAGGCCCGGCGCGGTCGCCGTGGTTACCGCACCCCGGCTGCGGCTGATCAGTAAACACTAATTACGCCCGCCACCCAGGTGCCGGGGCGGCTTGCTGAAGACTGAAAAACACCTCAATCCCACTCCGGGACTTTGGTATGGTTTTTAATTTTACGGCTGCTGTCCTCGAATCTGTCCAAGCGCATTAGTATTACGTGCGAGGTTTCCCGACAGGACTTTGACGGATGTTGCCCGGAGAGAAGCTGCTTTCCCGGGCAGAGAAAAGCTTCCTTTAGAGGCCTGGATGGACGAGCCCTGCTGTACCCGCCTGGACCTGATGCAAGCGCTTGGGTGGAGCAGTCCTTGATGGAGCAGAAACATCGTTTTCTGTGTGAGGGCCCGTAATGGCCCAGGTGGACAGCCACGCAGACACACGCGCCACCTCCCCCAGAAATCAGTCCCAGGCCAGGGGTGCAGGGGAGCGGCTTCGCCCGGGAGACTCACGAAGAGCGCCACCGCAAAACTCAGACTCTTCCGCCCCAGCACGCTGTCGCTGCCCCCGCTGTCCTGCCCGCGAGCAGTGGGGACACAGACGCGTGCACACAGACCGCCGGGGCCACTTCATGGGCACGCCTAGTCTCACGCACGCGGGCGGGCGCTCACCATACTGCTCCAGTCCCCTCCCAGCCCCATAGCACCCTCTAGCGGGGATAACGTGCTCCCTTGTAGGCGCACCGACCGACCGGACTTGAACCTAGCACCAAGCGCCCACCCTCCTCCTCCCTTAGCTCGGTGCTGCAGCTGAGGCTTCTGCAGGTTTGTTTGATCACCTGCCTTTCTACTTCTTCTGCGTTTATGACCCTGCTGACGCCCGGGGAGAGGGCAGCATAGCTAGCCAATCAGGATGCTCTAAAGGTCAAGGTAATGCCCATTTCCCGATTTGATTCACATACTTCACAATTCTTGTTCTCATGACAAAACGTGGCAGTCAGCACTAAATGTGACGTATCCCCTATCTTCTGGCAACCGAAAGAATAAAATGCTGAAAATATAAACAAACCCTTTTTATTAGAATTAGAGGTCAGTTCTCTTAAATGGTTATAATTCTTCTCACCTGGGACCTGTCTTCAGTCTTAACGCGCTGACATGAGATGAGTTGGTCTGCATCCCAGGCATCCCTTGTTTCCCTTATCACTTTTTAAAAAGTCTTTTTAAGTGAGGGGAAGGGGCGGAGAGCAGAGGGAGAGAGAATTCTAAGCAGGGTCTGTGCTGTCAGCAGGAAACCAGACGCGGGGCTCAAACTCTCAGAACTGGAAAGATCATGACCTGAGCCAAAATTCAAGAGTCCGTGGCTTAACCCACTGAGCCACCCAGGGGCCTCTCCCTCATCAATTTAGGTAATTTTTTTTTCCTTCAGCTGTCAAAACACAGACCCCCTTTTATGAACTTTACCCTGTAGAAAAATGACCCATTTGAAATCCTTCAGTTTGTAAGCTTAAATTTCATTGGAGGTTAGAGTAGGTTCGCGGATGAAGGGACTGGAAGGATAGGAATGAATGTACACCTGTGGAGTCACTTTCTTTCATATAAGGTGCCTGAGCCTTTCAGTACACTGAACCCACTCTCTTTCCCACCTTTGAAAAAAAAAAAAGTGTGCTTTCATCATAGTTTCTGTGCTTGAAAACCCAAGGCAACTCCTGGTTTCGCCCTAATGTACTAAAAACAAACTCGTGCCTCTGCAATCTGAGGCCTGGAGCTACAGGTCTCGTGAAACCAACCTGACTGCAGATGTTGTTCTGACTTCCACGCTTCGCCCTTCTCAGGACACTTTCCTTTTATCCCTCCAACTCCACCTGCACATTCCCCATCTCCATTCACATCTGGTCGGTCCCGCAGTTCAGCCCTTCGCTGCTTTTGCCTCGGTAAGTAGCAGAGTAAGGGCCTTTCAGATGGGAGGGTTAGTCCAGTCCTGGGTTAGAGGCCTCTGGTTCCCACAGGGTCTGGTTCTAGCCTTCATGTGGTCCTTGGTGTGTGGAGCCGCTTGGGAAGGTTTGAGGAAGAAGGAATTCATTTGTGGCCGGCAGAGAGGAATGAAGGTGAGGTAGGAAAGTTGAGAGGTGCCAGGTGAGGTCGGCAGTTGAGACCTGTTTGGGATTTGTCCCAAGCTCCATAAGAACCCTAGGCTAGACACCAAAATAATTTGGAGAGCTGTGTTTTTCCCTGTCAATTTATGACTGGCCATGTCTGGCCAAGAAAAAGGAGGTGGGGGAAGCACGCCAGGAGCCATTTGCCAGACAACTCGGCAAATAAGGCTGAGTCTGAAACTGAGGCAGGCTAGAAATTGCAATTAGCGTGGAAATGAAGATCTTTTCAGAAAAGAAAATGGCCCCAGCACTTGTTCTCTATTGTCTCTCCCATCCTCTGGCGCCCACCCAGACAGCCCTGAGACAGCCCCTTGGCTCACAGACTTGTGAATACCCAGCCAGGATAAGGGGGAGCACCCACCCATCCTCACCTGCTTCTGGAAGGGCTGTGCTGCCTGTGAGGAAGGGAAACCCAGGGAGGCTGGCAGCAGGCAGGTCCGCAGCAGGGAGGAGGAAGATCTGTTCTGTTGAATACCTTTGGGTAGGTTTATTGCACACCCCGAAATCACAGCGAGTTTAAAATGGTGTCCTTGGGGTGCTTGGGTGGCTTAACCGGTTATGTGAAGGACTTTGGCTCAGGTTATGATCTTGCGGTTCATGGGTTCGAGCCCCGCGTTAGGCTCTGTGCTGACAGCTCAGAGCCTGGAGCCTGCTTGGGATTCTGTGTCTCCTTCTCTCTCTGCCCCGCCCCTGCTCACACTCTGTTTCTCTCTCTCTCAAAAATAAAGAAACTTTAAAAAAAGTAAAATAAATAAATAAAATGGTGTCTTTGAGAGTTTGTCTCTCTCTTTCCCATCCGAAGGTATTAACTTACCTAAAAAGTGCATGCTCTCTGGAAGAAGGCTGGGAACTCTGAGCTCAAGTTAGAGGATACAAACATAGTCAACATTTTTTGGCAATGAAAAGGATAGGATGTTTTGTTGATTTTCATTCTAATTTTGTTTATATAATATGGGTGGTAGGTCCTGCTAGCCTACATTATACTCATTCTAACGAAGCCATCCATCATTTGAGCATTTACCACTGACAGATTCAGGGCTAAGTGCTTTGTATGCATAGTTTTGTTTTATCCCACGCCAGTCCCACCCAGTGGGCATTAATCGCCCTGTGAATGACAGAGGAAGTGGAGTATGAGAGGTTAAGCAACCCACTCAAGGCCATACAGCCCCAGGGTGGTAGTGCAGGACTCAAACTGGGGATTTTGACCCACACAGCCCAGCAGCTCTGGGCACGACCCTGCAGGTACCGGGCCGTGGGAGCCAAGGCAAGGGAGACTCGTGTCCCTAGTGGCCTTGCAGGAAGCGTCTGCAGTGCCCAGCAGGGAAAGGCCTAAAGGTCCCAGACAAAAATACTGCAGAAACAGCCCCTGGTGGCAGGAAAGAGCCAGCCCTGCGCTAAGGATGGGTCGGTGGCTGGAGGGTGGCGGGCGGCGAGCGGGAGGGGGCTGAGAGCCGGGCTTTGGGCCATGGCCAGGATTTGGGCTCCAGCGCGGCCTTCCCACGACCGAGGCCCGGGTGGGCCCCACAGGCCAAGATTCTCTCCCGCCGCTCCGCGGCGCCCCAGGCTCCGTGTCTAGCGGCTGCGGCCTGTCCCCTCCCCTGTGGCCCAGGAAGGCTGCGAAGCGAGCTAGTTCCTGGGCCTGTGCATGTTTCCCTGGGTGGGGCCTAGGTGCCGCCGTCTGTATCCTGCGGGGACCCAGCACCCAGCTCCCGGTTCCTGACCAGTTCACACTGGTCCACGGCTTGGACACCCGGGTCGGCGTGACCAGGATGCAAACGTGGTTATATAGGCCCGTTGCAGGAAGAGTGATTATCCATGATGGAGTGGCTTACGCGTGCTCTGCGATTATAGGTTCTTGCTCAACTCCGCAACAACCTTGGCGGGTGGAGGGGGGTGGGGGTGGGAATATAATCCTTATTCTTGTTTCACAGATAAAGAGGGAGTCCAGGGTGGTGAAATAACTAGCCCAAGGACATTCTGCTGGGAAGTCAGGACATGCAAGCTTTGGTAACTGGAGAGGAGTTAGAAAAGTTGTGGACTGTTAGGATCTGTCGGCAGGGCAAGGGGTGTGGGGATGTGGGGGCTCACGTGTGCTTCTAAGTGTGTGTGGTGGGGAGGCATGGGGCTGGGAAGGCCGTGAAACCACTTTCCTTCTTCCATTTGCTCAGGTTCTAGGCAGTCAACAGTTGATATTGACACTGTCCTCAAACTATATTTTCAACCACTTTTTATCACCTTTTTGCTGTAGTCAAGCCACTATTAAACCTCCCCAGGACTACCGAATCCCTGCAGTGGTCTCCCTGCTCCTGCCCTTCCCTTCCTTTAGTCTGTATTCAACAAGGCAGACACAGACGTCCAGCTAGAACTCAAGTCCCGGCACTCCTCTGCCAAACCCTGCAGAATTTCCTCTACGAGAATGATCTCCTCTCCCCACCTGAGGGCCCTCATCTCCCATTGTCCCAGTCTCTCCCCTCTGCCTCCTGCCTCCAAGCCTTGGCAATTGCTCTTCTGAGTAGAATACTGTGCCCCCCCCTCCACCCCCCCCCCCCTCCCCCCCATATCCACATGGTTGTTTCTTCATTTCTTCATGGTTTTCTTCTGTTTTGTTTTGTTTTGAACAGTAACTCGAATAAGGCTTTCCCTGGTCTCCTTTATATCACCCCTCACACTTATCACTTACTTACTTATTACTTACTTATCCTTATCACTTACTTACTTTACACTTTCTTATTTTTCTTATTCACCTTCTATCTCCCCAGCTAGAGTGGAAGCTCCATGATGCAGGGAGGGCATTTTGTCTGTGTTGTTGTTTGGCTGGTGTCTTTCATTCACTGCTGTATCTCCCCATGCCTAGAACAGTGACTGGCACACGTGATGAACTTAATAAATATTTGCTGAACAAGAGGATGAATGAATGAACAGACCCATTTCTGTCAATGAAAGAGGCTAGAATCTTCTGATAGGACAGGGAGTGGGGGAGGGTGGGGATTAGGGGGGTTGTTGAAGGAGGCCATGTTGAAGGATGAGGAGAGCAAAGACCTATGAACTAAAAATGGTTGTCATGAAAGGCAGTGGGTGTGGGGGAAACCCCCTCCGTGTCACCCACACCCTCTCCTCCACCATGTACTGGGTCACTGTGACTGGGCCCTGGCAGCTGGTATCAGCTTGGGGAGTCCCACAGGAAGCTGTTCTGTAGGTCCAGGAAGAGAATGAGATATGTCAGATGACAGTGTGTGAAATGTAACCTCCGCTGTCAAAGCCGATGTGAAGTGGCCCCATCTTAAAGAACAGGAGGTCAAGAGAAAGCCAAGGACTCTCTTGGAAACCAGATGCCATTGGCATTAGGGCGGGAAGTATCTTCTCCTCTGGTGGAGCTGCCCTGGCTCCTGGCATAGGTGTTGCTGCCCTGCCCACCTCATCAAGGGTGTCATCTGTGACCTGTCAGGAAAGACCTGTGTGCCCAGCAAGAGAGTCCTGGTGTTCTTCTGGCTCTTGGCAGCAGTTACAAAAATTTTTTTATGTTTATTTATTTTGAGAAAGAGAGAGAGAGAGTATGCACACAAGTTGGGGAGGGGCAGAGAGAAGGAGAGACAGAATCCCAAGCAGACTCCACACCATCAGCACAGAGCCCAATGCAGGGCTCGAACTCAGGAACCACGGTATCATGACCTGAGCCAGATGGAGAGTCGGACGTTTAACCGACTGAGCCACCCAGGCACCCTTTGGCAGTAGTTCAAAAAGTACAGGCTTAAGATAAGGAAACAACCCAAATGCTCA